TGCACGCATTCGTGATCAGTGCGCTATGCACGCATTCGTGATCAGTTTGCTGTGCACGCATTTGTGATCAGTGTGCTGTGCACGCATTCGTGATCAGTGTGCTGTGCACGCATTCGTGATCAGTGTGCTGTGCACGCATTCGTGATCAGTCTGCTGTGCACGCATTCGTGATCAATGTGCTTTGCACGCATTTGTGATCAGTTTGCTGTGCACGCATTCGTGATCAGTGTGCTGTACACGCATTGATGATCAGCGTGCTTTACATGCATTCATAATCAGTCTGCTGTACACGCATTCATGATCAGTGTGATGTACACGCATTCATGATCAGTGTGTTGTACCCACATTCATGATCAGTGTGCTGTACAAGCTCTCACCACCAAGTTGCTGAACTATCTCACATACATGGTGTTAGTAGTGGCCTCGAAAAGAAAGCTCGGCCTGCTAAACTGTTGTGGGAGATGTTGCTGCGAAGGGAAGCCAAGGCTGGGAAGGGATCACATTTTAGGCGCTTCAGACAGAGCAGAAAAATGGTATGGGAAAGGGAAAAAAAGGGGGTAGTGAGAGACGGGGGAAGTGGGGGGTGCAAAAACAAGGTTAGGGGGTGAGAGACATGGCTTTTCTGTGCTCTTACAAATTCATTCGAAGACAAAGGATTGTTCAAGGGAGAGGAAGGAAGGGCGACCTGATGCTTCTACATTTTTATTTGAATCAAAAGTCGATCTTCAAGTCGACAAAAAAAAAAAAAACTTATCACAAGAGGGAAGGGCGACTTGTTGCATGTGGTTTCTGAGAGTTCTCTAGAACCACATGAAAGGAGGGAGAGGGTCGATCTTCAAGCCGACAAACAAATCGACTTATCACAAGAGGGAAGGGCGACTCATTGCATGTGGTTTCTGAGAGTTCTTTAGAACCACATGCAAGGAGGGAGACGGGCAACACACAGGATGTAGAAGTTGACGATGAAGTCAAAGGGGATTTCCCCGGAGAGGCGGTTGAAGGACGCGTTGCAGCCAGACATGTGCACAGGGATGCACACGGGAAAAAAAGGATGCATTGGGGTGCACAGGGGTGCACAGGGGCATACCGGGGGGCACAGGCGGCACAGGGGTGCACGACAGCCCATGGAGACGAGATTTGGTAGGCAGAAAAAGGAAGATAGAGATCAGGTGAAAGGAAGATAGAGATCAGGTTGGAAAAATAAGCGAATGGGTGGATGGAAAAGAGTGTAACTCACACAAGCGAATGTCAAAAGTACGAGCAGAAAGTTTAGAACAAGAAAGAGGGGTTGCACTAGCAAGCAGTTGAGTACATATAGGAGACCCTAGATTGGGCTGTACTCGCTATAGAGTACCCCACTGCAGGCTAGACAAATACAACATTCTGACACACCCCCATAGCCAAAGTGGGGTGTAATCAGCAGAGCACGCAGTCATAGAGCAGGTTCACAATTGCAAACAAAGCTAGAGGCATTCACAAAGGACAAGTGAGGAGGAGGAGGCGGGACTGCAAGATGAGAGGAGATAGGAGGCGACGGCTGAAGCAGCAGATACACAGGCAACAGGAGCGGCTGGCACAGTGGCTACCGGGACAGCGCCCCGGACTACTGGACTAACTGGCTTGGCGGCTACGAAGAGCGGCAGGAGCAACAGACCCACGCGCGACAGGCGTAGCAGGCTCTCTGGGCTACCAGGACAGCGCCCCGGACTACAGGTGCTGCGGACTACAAGACGGCAGCCTCCGCTCAAACTCCCCCAAACTGTCCCACCCCCCTTTCACAAACCCCTTGCTTTACCCCTAGCTCCACTCCCACATCACCCCCCTAGCGCCACTCCCCTCGGCTCCCACACTTCCACCCCCCTTAGCGGCAGCTGCAGCAGAGGGAGACGAGGAAGGAGGAGGAGAAGGGGAAGGGTAGCACCCACACCGCTCACCCCCATGCCCGCCACCCCACACCCCCCACCACCGCGGAACGCACGGTGGTACGGGAGCAATGGGCGGCACGGGGGAGGGAGGGGGGGGGGGGGGGGGGGGGGGGGGGGCGGGCGACGGGACAGCAGGGGCCGCGAGCGCCTAGCCAGGGCACCGCGAAAAACCAGCAGGGGCCGCGCGCGCCTTGCCAGGGCGCCGCGACGAAGTAGCAGGGGCCGTGCGCGCCGTCCCAGGGCGCCGCGACGAACCAGCAGGAGCCGCGTGCGCCTGGCTAGGGCGCCGCGACGGAGCAACAGTGGCCGCACGCGCCTCGCCAGGGCGCCGCGACGGGACGGTCGGGGGACGCGCGCGTCGCTCTAGGGCGCCGCAACGGACGGGCAGGGGGTGCGCGCGTCTCCCCAGGGCGTCGCGACGGAGCAGCGGGGACGGCGCGCCAGGAAGAAAAGGGGCCGCACGCCTCGGGGCACGCACCAGAGAGTACACAAATACGTCGCACGCCACCGGGCATGCAACAGATCGAGTAGCAGCGGAAGCAGGTTGGTGGGCCCACAGGCCAAGGAAGGACACTCTCTGATAGCGTGTGAGAAGTACGAGCAGAAAGTTTAGAACAAGAAAGAGGGGTTGCACTAGCAAGCAGTTGAGTTCATATAGGAAACCCTAGATTGGGCTGTACTTGCTATAGAGTACCCCACTGCAGGCTACACGAATACAACATTCTAACAGCGAAGGGCTTCAAAGCAGAGGGGCCAGAAATAGAGGGGTCAGAAGCAGAGGGGCCAGAAGTAGAGGGGCCAGAAGCAGAGGGGTCAGAAGCAAAGGAATCAAAAAGCAGAGGGGCCAGAAATCGATGGCACTCACAATATTGGGCTGCCATAATCTGCTTTGAACTTGAGACCAGAGGGCAGAGGCCCTTTGAGGTCGTTCACTGACACGCCACTGGCACACTGCGGTTGGGGGGAGGAGTATGTGCGGGAGGAAGGAGGAGATGAGTTTTGAGTCGACTCAAAACCTGCGAGGCCGTTTAGTGACATGCCACTAGTAGGACGTAATGAGGAGGGGAGGGGCAGCAGTGGTGGATGGAAGGGAGAAGATGATGAGGCGAGGATGGAGCCGAAGGAGAAGGAGAAGGAGAAGTTGGTGTATTGAGTAGGCGTGAGAGCTATTGGGCGAAATGGATGTGAGGCACAAGATGTATGGATGCTTGCTGGAGAGAGGAGGTAGTGTATGCCATGGTGAAGTGCGCATGGAGCACGGTGCATCGTATGGCACGTGCCGCATGGTGCATGGAGCATGGGACATGATGTCGACGCATGACACATGATGTCAACGCATGACACATGGTATTGTAGGGAGACAAAGAAGGAGAGAAAGAGAGTGGGAAAAGCGTTTTGGTGAAGAGAGAGAAAGACTCTGTATCTCTGACAGAGCATAGAGGGCGAGAGAAGTGTTGACAAGACATGAAGGGTGAGATAAGTGCGCACATGCTGGTGAGGGAAGAGAGAGCAGCAAGGGGCCCCAGCGACCTCGAAAACAAGTTATTGTCCAGCAGACTGCCGTGAGGGGTGGGTGGGGGAAGGGACATGCACGGATGGTGCATGGGGTTGTGAAACGAAACATGGGGTTGCGGGGCAACGGGCAGGGGGTTGTGGGATGGAGGGGGAGATGGGGGTGTGGGGAGTAGCAAGGAGGTGAAGGTTACGGTGGAAAAGGGGCTTGGTTTGCTCTGACATTGGTCCGTGGCAGATGTGGCGGGGGGTATCAATGATGGAGGCTGATTGGCAGGATGGTTGCAATTAACGGCGGTGCTCATGGAATGGCATGGCATGGCACGGCATGGAGCTGAGACTTAGATAAAATTGTGACTCACATGAAGTGAGACTTAGATGGAACTGTGACTCACATGGAGCTGAGACTTGGATGGAACTGAGAGTCACACGGAGCTGAGACTTGGATGGAATTGTGACTCACATGGAGCTGAGACTTAGATGGAACTGTGACTCATATAGAGCTGAGACAGTGCATGGCATAGCATGGCATGCCATGGGTAGCATGGCATGGGATGGCATGGCATGACATGGCATGGGATGGCATGGTATGACATGGCATCGGATGCCATGGTATGGCAAGGTATGGCATGGCATAGCATGGCATGGCATGACATGGCATGGCATGACATGGCATGGCATGGCATGGCATGGCATGGCGATGACATGGCATGGCATGGCATAGCATGGAGGTGAGACTCACAAGGAGCTAAGGCTGGCCATGCTGGACAAAGACTTGGGGATGGTCCCTGACAGACGGTTGTATGACAAGGCTCTGCATGCACACAAGTCATTTTGCATGCACACAAGTCATTTTGCATGCACATAAGTCATTTGGCATGCACGCAAGTCATTTGGCATGCACACAAGTCATTTAGCATGCACACAAGTCATTTGGCATGCACACACGTCATTTTGCATACACACAAGTCATTTGGCATGCACACAAGTCATTTGGCATGCACACAAGTCATTTGGCAAGCACACAAGTCATTTGGAATGCACAAAAGTCATTTGACATGCACACAAGTCATTTGGCATGCACACAAGTCATTTGGCATGCACACGAGTCATTTCGCATGCGCGCTAGTCATTTGGCACGCGCATAAGTAATTTGGCATGCACTCAAGTAATTTGGCATGCGCATGCACACGGGTGTGAGATGATGGTGACAAGGATACGATACTACAATGATTGAGAGGAGGCGGTTGAAGGATAAAAGTTGAGAATAAACATGCAAATCACAGTGCTGAAAGGCCTTCACAGGCTGCAGAGCTGAGAAGCGCTGTACCGGCGCCGCCCATGGTCACTCACATGCTTGCATGGTCACTCACATGCTCACATGGTCACTCACATGCTCACATGGTCACTCACATGCTAACATGGTCACTCACATGGTAACATGGTCACTCACATGCTCACATGGTCGCTCAGATATGCTAATTCGTAATGGGCAGCTCACAAGTTGTGGAGGTTGGTGAGGCGCCATGCTGCCGAGCAGTGACCCTGTCAAGGCATTCTCCATCAAGACCCTGCAGTGAGGGTGGGAGAGCAGAGAGAGGAGAGAGCGGAGGGAGAGGAGGGAGCAGAGGGAGAGGAGGGACCGAAAGGAGCGGAGGGAGAGGAGGGACCGAAAGGAGCAGAGGGAGAGGAGGGAGAGAAGGAAGAGGAGGGAGAGGAGGGAGAGGAGGGAGAGGATGATGTGGAGGGGGTGCAGATGGGGTGATGGTAGAAACTAGAGGGATAACAAGGGTGCTTGGAGAAAACGGAAGGGAGGGAGGCGAGGTGTAAACGTGGATGCGTGGTTGTGCACATACATGCCGGGCGGCACACACACATGCCGTGCAGCAGCACACATACATGCCAGGCAGCAGCACACGTACATGCCAGGCGGCAGCACACATACATGCCGGACAGTGCACATACATGCCGGACGGCGCACATACAGCTCGTTGAGAGAGACCATGTTGCCAATGGAATCAGGAAGGCTTCCGGCGAAGTTGTTCTTGTCCATATACATGATAAAGGTAGGGGCGGCATGGCATGGCACGGCTTTGCATGGCATGGCATGGTATGGCATGGCACGGAATGAAATGGCATGGCATGGCTCGGCATGGGATGGCATGGCACGGCACGGCATGGAATGGTAGAACATAGGAGCGGGTAGAGCCAACTGGCGACCGCCAGCTGGTGGAAGTGGATGGCCTAACGAACTGCCTGACTGCCACGGACAAATCTGTGCCTGCGAGGAACGAAATCCTGCCTGACAGGGAAGCCTTGTTAACTGACAGAGAGAATTGGATGGACAGGTAGAAAATGTTGAATGGCAGATAGGAATTGTTGACTGACAGGTACAAATTGTTGACTCACGGGTGGGAAGCGTTAACTGATAGGACGGAGAGCTTGGTGAGTCTGGTGAAGAAGGTGGGGAAAAGGGCCTGATAAGGAGTTGTTGGAGAGGTCCCTGCCATGCATGCATGCCACACACTAGTGCGCACACACGTGCATCCACACACACACACACACACAAAATTATCCACTCATTCACACACGTGCGTACAAACACGCAGACACACTCACAAAATGTACGCACACACTCTCGCACATACACTCTTACATGCATAAGCACACACGCACATGCTAGAGAGGCAACATTGACTAATAGAGGGATGGAATTAACTGACAATTGAACGAAGCTAATCAATAGGGGGCGAACTCAAGTAGCAAGGGGAACAACATTAACAAAGAGGGGCGAAGCGAACTGCTAGATATGTGAGATTGACGAGGTTCCGTGGAGGTGTGCGATCATCGTCAAGGTTGATTGTGTCAAAGTCGACAAACGCGGCAGCATAAAGCACATCAAGCACAACTGTCCATGGGACAACTTGGCATCAGGGTGACGTGCGTGACAGTGTATGTCGTGATCAATCCTCTACAAGCACCTGCGAAGTAGGTGTACACATATGTTGTCACCTAGGACTGCAACGCTGGCAGGTCGCTCCGCTGAAGCACTAGCAAGCCGCCTTGGTGCAGTGTTGGCAAGCGCAAACTTGCTCTATTGGCAGGGCGCCTTTTTGTAATGCTGGCGTGGTTCCAACCTGTAATACTGGTACGTCGCCGACCTTGTTGCGCTAGCGCTCGACCTGCCTGTGTGCTAGGTTGCTAGGCTCTAATGTAGTCATTTTGTTGCGTGTCATTCTTGCATAATTGTTTTGAACTTTGCTAGTAAATCTCTTGATGTTTGTCCTGTGAACGTACATGTGTTAGAGGACACAAATGTGCTCATGCCACTCTTGTTTTCCCCTAGTTCAGCTCCCACCATTGTAGAGTGACTCTCCACACAGGATTGTTCCATGTGTAGGGAGCTCATATTTAGAAGGTGGGAAAGTGTAAGGAATTGCCATTCCTTACTCTACTCGCACTTTAGCGATTACATCCCGAGGGCTACGCGTTACTTCGGTTCGGCCTATTTCGTCGCCCCAAACCATTCCTGAATCGACAATGCACCAATTGCAACCCTTCCGTCCCATCTTAGCCCGACGTCCCCGACTAGAAGTTGTTCAGGATCCGTCACTTTGAGAACTTACGACGAACTTATTTCTTAGCTAAACGCAAATCCGCTTGATAGGATTATGCGCCTTAGGCTTAGCTACCATCTCCAAGTTGAATCAGTCTTTAAGATGGTCTATAGAGTGAGAACCATGTAAAAACGTTCAGCAGCCGCATGATTAGAATAGCAGAGGAAGTACAAGCATTAGGGCATAGAGAGTTGGAGTTGGGAACCTCCAAGAGAACCATGAGAGGGAAGGGGTTCTCCAAGAGCTAGGGAAGGATGGTAGGAATGTCAACGGGAGTTATGTGTTGGCCCCGTCCTCGCTTGGGCGGAGCCGACATCGTGGTCGGGTGTTAGGGGAGCAGCCGACCTGCAGAAGTGGGCAAGCTGGTTGACCTGCACGGGGACCACTGCACGGGCGCCGACTTCAGGGTGGCGCCAACTTCGGGGAGGTCGACTTAGGAGTCGACCTGCGGAGGACGTCAACTTGGTGACGTCAACTTGGGAAAGCCGACTTCGGTGGTCGGCTGATGGACTGCTGGTCGACCTGCGGGTGGTCGACTGGACCTGGTGGTCGACGAAGGAGGGGCCGACGTCAACCTCGACTCAGGACGCCAAGCAGTTGGGCGTCGAGTAGCGGGGCGTCAACTTCGTGACGCCGACTTCGGGTGGCCAACGTGGGTGGTCGGCCGACAACTGCGCTAGTCGACGTGGAGCTGGTCGACCAGAAGGGACGTCGACCTGGAGGAGGTCGACCGAGGGGCGTGGTCGTCCTGGTGAGGTCGACATGGAGGTGGTCGTCGACTTGGGAGGTCGACGGGCACGTACGGGAGCTGCTGGTCCACGTGGTTGCCCGGTCGACCAGGTTACCTGGGTGATGAAGTGCTGCGGAGGAGTGCGACGGTCGCCCAGGCGAAGTTGGCGAGGCCGACCTCGGTGGTGGTATCCCGAGGTCGTCGTGGCGGATCAGAGGCAGTCGTCAGCTCGAGGTTGACGTGGTGTGTGCGCTGTGCAGGTGACGAGACTCTGCACGGCAAATCATCTGCGCGCACCTGCGAAGCGGGTGCACTGCTGTCCTGCATGAGCAATGCTGGTACGCCATCAACCTGCGACGTTGGCACGCCGTCGACCTTGCCTTGCTGGAGTGCGGTCGACCAAGTCGTGCTGGAACGCGGTCGACCAAGCTGCGCTGGCAGTTGGCCGACCTGAATGCTAGCTCTGATGTAGTCTTGCATTGCCAACTTCATTGGATTATTGATGTCATGTTTTCCTAGTGAAACTCTTGCCAATTCTCTCCGTGAACTAGCAAGAAGCGTAAACACAAGGAAATGACTAAGTGAACGAACGCAAAGATCACACGAGCACACGTGCCTAGCCCGTAGTCTAGCTCCCGTTGCAGCAGTTATCTCCGCAAGGAACCTGTCAGATTGTATTTGCTGTCTAGCCTGCAGTGGGGTACTCTGTAATGAGTACAACCCAATTTAGGGTGTTGTACTTGTATCCCAACTCTTGCTAGTGAATCACATTTCCCCTTCTCAACTTTCTCGACATTCACCTTACACCCTAAAACCAAAGCTACTAAGGCACCTAAACTATGGCTTCTAAGCCTACTACACTCTAGAACTTTAACATGTTATCAGAGCTTAACGCTCCTGGCCTGTGGGCCCACTTGCTTCCGCTGCCCTAATGTGTGTCGCGCGCCCCGTGGCGCGCGACCTCCTATTTTTCTTCCCGCCACGCGCTCGGGGCGCGTGGCGGTTTTCTGCCCGCCGTGCGCCTCGAAGCGTGCGGTGGGTTCCTCTCTCGTCGCGGCGTCTTGGGGGCCTGCGCGCCGGCCCCGAGCGTCGCCTCGTCGCGGCGTTTTGGGGGCCCGCACGCAGGCCTCTCCCGTCGCCTCGTCGCGGCGCTTTCGGGGCCCGCGAGCCGGCCCCTCCCGTCGCCTCGTCGAGGCGTCTTGGGGGCCCGCGCGCGGTCCCCTCCCGTCACCCGTCGAGGCGCTCTCGGGAGCTCTGCAGCAGCCGCTCCAGCAGCAGCCGCCCCTGGACCAGCCGCCGCTGCAGCAGCCGCCCCTGGAGCCGCCGCCACTGCAGCAGCCACTCCTGGAGCCGCCGCCCCTGGAGCAGCCGCCCCAGCAGCAGCAGCCCCTGAAGCAGCCGCCCCAGCAACAACAGCCCCTGGAGCAGCCGCCCCAGCAGTAGCAGCCCCTGGAGCAGCCGCCTCAGCCGCCGCCACTGCAGCAGCCGCCCCAGCAGCAGCACCCCCTGGAGCAGCCGCCCCAGCAGCAGCAGCCCCTGGAGCAGCCGCCACTGCAGCAGCCGCCCCTGGAGCCGCCGCCCCTGGAGCAGCTGCCCCAGCAGCAGCAGCCCTTGGAACAGCCGCCCCAGCAACAGTAGCCCCTGGAGCAGCCGCCCCAGCAGCAGCAGCCCCTGGAGCAGCCGCCCCAGCAGCAGCAGCCCCTCGAGCCGCCGCCACTACAGCGGCCGCCCAAGCAGCATCAGCCCCTGGAGCAGCCGCCCCAGTAGTAGCAGCCCCTGGAGCAGCCGCCCCAGCAGCAGCAGCACCTGGAGCAGCCGCCCCAGCAGCAGCCCCTGGAGCAGCCGCCCCAGCAACAGCAGCCCCTGGAGCAGCCGCCCCAGCAGCAGCAGCCCCTGGAGCAGCCGCCCCAGCAGCAGCAGCCCCTACAGCAGCCGCCCCAGCAGCAGCAGCCCCTGGAGCAGCCGCCCCAGCAGCAGCAGCACCTGGAGCAGCCGCCCCAGCAGCAGCCCCTAGAGCAGCCGCCCCAGCAGCAGCAGCCCCTGGAGCGACCGCCGCTGCAGCAGCCGCCCCAGGTCCCTGCAGCAGCCGCTCCTGGACCCGGTGCAGCCGTGGGGGGGTGGGTGTGGGGGTGCTGGTTGTGGGGGTGTCGGTTGTGCGTGCCGTCCCCTCCTCATCCTCCTCTTCCTTCGTCTCCCACTGCTGCAGCTCTCGCTGAGGGGGGTGGATGTGTGGGAGTCTGGGGTTTAGGGTCTAAGGGGGTGCTGTGGGTGTAGGGCTAGGGTTTGAGCAGGGGGTGTGTGAGAGGGGCGTTGGGCAGCTGGGGGAGGTTGAGTGGAGGCAGCAGTCTTGTCGTCAGCAGCAGCAGCAGTCCGGAGGCTACAATCTCCGGTAGTCGCCAGTCGCCCGTGGGTCCGTTGCTCGTCTGCCGCTACTTTTAGCCGCGGGGCCAGTTACTCCAGTGGTCCGGAGCGCTGTTCCGGTAGCCACTGAGCCAGCAGCTCGTCTCTGTGTCTGCAGTGTCAGCAGTCGCCTCCCATCTTCTCTCCTCCACAGTCTCTTCTCCTCCTCACTTGCCCTCTGTGATTAGCTCTAGCCTTACTTACCTATTGTGAACTCTTGCTCTATGCTTGCTCATTGTGCTGATTACACCCCACTTTGGCTATGGGGGTGTGTCAGAATGTATTTGCTGTCTAGCTTGCAGTGGGGTACTC